AAATTGCAGAAGTTTTAAAGATAATTCACCCAAGAAATGATGTTCTATATTTCCTTTTTTGAGAGAATACCAAAATTTTTAAAGAACAGGATAAAAACATTTTAAATTTTAACAGAATATGAATGTGAGTGGGGATTTAGCAACAAATTTAGATATTTAGAACATTATGATATTGGAAGAGTAGGGGGTAAATTCCATTTTAAAAATTAGATTTTTCCGCGACCTAAACCAGTGACTTTCCATTATTTTTTTTAAAAAAATAGTTACAAATAAAGACAAATTTTGTTCAATACCGAAATCCATGACTTTCTAGGAGTGCGGATACCCTGAATAATAGATTCATTAATAAACAAAGAAACGCAAGCTATTAGAACATGAGCAAGAAATTAAAAATTTTAAAATCGCGATTAATTTTCTTTCAATGTGTGAACATAAAATATGAAACATAAAAGTAATTTAATTTATCACGAATTTATGCAACATCAATTTATGAAGTTATAGAGTTTATTATTCATAGTATTTTAATTCAGACTTTTAAACAATTCAATTGAAGGAGCAAAATAAAAGAAATTGACTGAATTAAAGAAAAAGAAATTAGCAAATCTAAAAAATTAAGTATAACCGAAAGAGCATTAGTGAATAATAAAAGTTAGTGACTGTTTAAAGATTCAATGATTATCTAAAAATATTTTTCAATTTGTACGAAAATATTTCTACGCTTTTAGCTTACTCGTTTTCTGTGACTTTTCAATTTTTTTGGAAGTCAAAGTTCATACGGGGTGAGATAAAAGCGTATAGCAAACTATTAAATTAACATCTCAAAAAGGAGCAGAAAGAAAAATAAATAACTTTATTCTAAGCGTGGAGCATGGACACTAGAGTATCGTATGGAAGCCCATCTATTAAGTGTTTTCCGAATCACAATTCTTATTCAAGTGATTTACATATCACACACTGAGATTCGTGTTAGAAGGATTTAAAATTTGCCTATTGCGAATAGCATTAAAGGGATTTAAAAATTACTGTTGGCAATTTTCATCAGAGTGATTTATGAATCTCCTATTGAATTGCAATGATTACCAGATTATGCATAAATTTTTGCATAATCTGGTAAAAATTATTAGACAATCTTTTGCGTAAAAATCATTAGCAAATCACGCATTGTGTTTTGCTCTAAGTAATTAAAGAATCATGTGACAAAGTTCTCGCTGTGGTGATTTATTAATCTTTCATTGCTATTTATGACTTATTACTTTGTGCATTTTTCAAACTTTATCATTTGCTATTCATATATGCTTCAATTTACGGAACATACGTTGCATTTNTGCTAACATTATTGCAATTAATGTATGCTTCAATTTACAGAACATACATTGCATTTCAATTTGCAAGTCATATGTTGTACATAATTTACGTGATTTGTAAGGCTTGCTTTATGTTTCATGTCATTTTATTTATAGGCAAAATATCACAATTTATATATGAATGCTTTAAAAGACCAGGCATAGTGAATTATTATAATCTAAAAATTTAAGCAATCACATTTTGCAATTTATGACCTATTTTAAGGAAACTATAGTTTTGTAAATCTTAAGTTTGTTATCTATCTAAATATTGTACTACAAAGAATTTTATTATGTCCAAAATACTTTACTGATATTCTGAGGTATTATGTTTTTAAAATTAAAACAGATATGCTAAATATTAGTTTTTAAATTCTAATATGCTTCATAAATTTTTAATGAAAAGTCCAACTGGTTCCAGTCTTTAACAGTTTGCATGTATGCTAATGTCAATTAGAGATTTTTTGTTAATCTTCAAACTTAATTAAACCACAATGCAACTGTCAAATCATTTGCATTGGTAGATGAGAACAACACATATTAAAAAATTGCGAGAACTATTAAACAATGTAAAATTGATACAATTAATATATGCTTCAATGTTCTTGTTGACATGTATTTTAGCATACTGACTGCCACTGAGTAGGTAGTAGGTCCTTCAAAGTCATTGAAAAATCCTAACAGGATTATTATTTTTTAAATTTATTTTGAAAATTGAATGGGAATGAATTTGAGGGTGGTAAATTTTGAAATTGAGTAAATTTTGAAAATTGAGATTTTTAATGAATTCTGTATTGAAACATTCATTGTTTAAGCAAAAGAATTAAGCTAGTGTTTTTCAAAACCTAATTTCTATTGAATATTTGCATAAAAATAAGTGATATAAAATGTATTTTCTTATATATTTAATTTATTATTTTTACTGATTCTTTTTAAAAATGCACATTTTTATAATATTTTAGATATTTCTAAAAATTTGATCTATAGGTTTTTCTTCTTTAATCAATTTGAATCATGCATGTGTATTTGGTGTTTTGTAACATTTAAGAAATTGGTTTTTTGGCATTTGTGTCAGTCATGTTCTCTTTGTTTTGTTTCATGTCTTATTTTTAATTTAATATTTTTTTTACTTTCAGGTCTCTAATCCAAGATTTGATAATTCCCTTCTGCATTTCTGCTGCTATTTTTTATTAGTTTCTATAAAAGCATAATTACATCTGTAATATTTTTATCTGATATAAATAAGGAATCTGCCAAGTTTTTTTTTAAATACAGGGTATCCACGCACCTGGAAAGTCATGAAAAATCATTGAAAGTCATGAATTTGGGTATTGAGCAAAATTTGTCCAGAAATGTCATGATCTTAACTATTTTTTTAAAAAAAATCATGAAAAGTCATGGATTTAGGTGGCCGATTCAATTTTCAAAATTGAATTTACCCTCTCCCCCCCAATTTCATAGTGTTCCGTATTTCTGAATTTGTAACGAAATTCCCACTCACCACTCCCACATTTGATCAAAATATAAAATGTTTTTATCGTATTCTTTAAAAATTATGGTGCTCTTTAAAACAATTAAAGAAAAAACATCATTTCTGGAGCAAATTATCTTTTAAACTTCTGTGATTTCAGAACTTTTGTTATTATTTTTATTTTATTAATTTGAAATTTTAGCTGAAGGTAAGCTAGTTATTGGCAAATTTTTTTATTCCGAAACGTGAACAGAAAAATCACTACTATTTTTTTCCTTTCCGATGAACAAGAAAAGTATCTTTAGAATGTAATTCTGCAGAAAAAAAAGAGAAAAAAATTATTCGCTTTTGTATTTTTTTACCCAGCTATTTTATGGCTTTAACTATTTCTTTATTCTGTTTTTTAAATTTAAACTCTATAAATATGAAGAGGCAGAGTATAATAGCTTTGGTTATACCAACCATTTCAACGAATTTTTTTTATAATGCTGTTTTAAATTTATTGATGTATTTTTGTCGGAGAAAATAGTAACTTCGTTAAGTCATGAATTTGAAATTTCTGAAATGTAGCAGATACCCTGTAAATATTTTTCTAATTAGTTATTTTTACTTCATCATATTGTGTTGCATTTTGCCTTTTCAACAATAGTCATCATCACGACAGTCCCTTAATTTCTGTTATGCTTCGCGCTCCCTTGCCACTGGTCCTGGGTTTGACACCCTCGGGCCGGGCAAGGTTGACTCAGCCTTTCATCCTTTTAGTGGGTCGATGAATGAGTACCAAGCATGCTTGGGGGCTAGGTTTTGCATTCGACTGACCACCTAACCGGATCATCTTGCTTCTGCACCCCAGAGCCCAAGGTTAAGAAAACTGAGATGGGCACAGTAGGCCTTGGCCCTTTATTATGGGCTGTCGCGCCACTGAGTTTAGTTTTGAATGGCAGCGTTAAGAATTTTAAAAAACAATACTGGAGATTAAAGTACATTAATCAATGAATGCAGTCAATAATATTTACTGTTTCAAATTGATAATAATTAAGTTAAAATGTCTGCGTGTAGAATATAAGATTAAAATAGTTTCATTTAATATTTCCGCTATATTTATTCAATATTTTATAAGACATTTATTTCACAGAATTTTGATATTTTTCCTTTTCCTAATAGTTTTGTATCAAACTCTTTTTAGGGGCTCATACCCACATTTCTCTTGAAGAAATTTTAGCCGAAAAGGCTGAAAAAGCAAAAGATGCCGAAGAAAACAAACTTCCCCAAGAAGCAGTTCTGATCTGATGCAGCCTATTAACTTTTGTGTGAAAACCATAATTATGATTTGCAAGTAAGTGCACATTTTCATAGCACAGATTATTAATGAAAAAAAGGATAAATTAAATAAAAATTCAAAGTAAAAATATTCCTTAGCTCCTTGTTTAGTATTAATATGTTTATACCTTAGTATTAATATGTTTACGTCCTTTTTTTTAAAAAATCAAAACTTGAAAAATTGAATACAATATTTAATATCCATCTGCTTTTGTTAAAGATCTTTAATTTCTTTATTTTTAGAATTTCTTGAGAAACTAAACCAATAAAAATAATTACAATGTTGTATCTGAAACTCTTATGCTCCTTGATTGTATATGTGGAAGTACTACAGGAGGCCTTGGATTATTAGGTTTATATATTAATGAATGCAATGTTGCTTTAGTTAACCAAACTTTAGAAACACTTACTGAATATTGCCAGGACCATGACATGGAAATCAAGTAAATAGTTTTAATTTATTTTCTTTACATTTAGTGTTTATTTTTACACATAGTATTTGCTTTTGTTTTTGTGTACTCATGTGGTAAAAATTGGTCCTCTCCAAAAATCAGTATTAGAAAATTTTATTTTTCTAATACTGAACTAACTCTTTTCTTTTATCTTTAATTTTATCACAAAAGACTACTCTCGTTATTTTAAAATACAATTGAGTATAATTTCATTAAAAATGTATTCATTTTTAGCACAAAAATGTATANTATAAACGTCATAATTCATCATATCTAACCTGTGCACATTTTTATTATGTGTTGAATATATCAACCAAGATTTTAATTTACAGTCAGTAAAAGGTAAATATCTATATCTCTTTGTATTATGCTGTGTTTTTCAATCAAAACATTTTGGAATTTAGGGCACTAATCCATCAAGTTAAGTCCAAATTTTTCAAAGAAAATTTGATTTATTTTTGACTGTGAATATAGTTGATTAGGTTAGTTCTGGAACCGGGCACAAATGTTAAACTACCCCTATTCAGTGTATGATTAAAGAAACCTATTGTTTTATCTAGTTACTTAGTTTAGTTTAGTAAAAGTTTGTAAACCAGGTCTTACCTGGTTTTTGTACCTCAGTTGATCACATTGTTTTTTAGTCATTCAAGATTTATTAAGGATAATAAATTCCTACCTAGACTATTTTAAATATTTAAAAATTTTTTACAAATGACACTCTTTGGCATTTGTTAGAAGAATTTTTTTAACCAATTAAAGAATTTTATCCATTTTGGAAAGAGCATATTAAAAATTAAGAAATAAATTTGACCAAAACAGTGTATAAAAAATTTCTACAGACAATGAGGAAGAAGATTTTAATTACCTAAAGTAATCTACTGAACCAATCTAAATAATTTTTTTTATTTGTATATTCTACAATAGATTTCTCTCATATAAACCTATTGTCCCATATTTACATAAGTTAAGCACAATTCTTAAATTATATATTGTGATGCACATTAACAAACTGTGAATCCGGAACTACTTTTTCAAAATTCCAAATCAGTCCAAAAAAGAAAAGAAAATGAACAAATGTGTTAAAAGAAAGGCATAATATTTTGACATTTTTATTATAGAGTGACGAATAATAAAACATCTTTTTTAAGTTTTTTTTTTTAATGATTCAAAAAACTTTTATTCAAGACTATGTAATACAATACAAAGAGGAAGAAGAAAAAACGCAAATAAATTGAACGAGTCATTTTCGAGTATCTAGATAAGTATAGAAATGAGACTGACAAATAAAAAAATGAACAAACACTTTAAAAAAAAAGAGATGTAAATGTTAGTCCAAAAAAGAAAAGAAAATGAACAAAGGTGTTAAGAGAAAGGCATAATATTTTGACATTTTTATTATAAAGTGACGAATAATAAAAAATCTTATTTAAGTTTTTTTTTTTTGAAGGATTCATAAAACCTTTATTGTGACTATGTAATACGATACAAAGAGGAAGAAAAAAAAACGGAAATAATTAATTGAACGAGTCATTTTCGAGTATCTAGATAAGTATAGAAATGAGACTGGCAAATAAAAAAATAAACACACACTTTTAAAAAAAAAGAGTTCTTTCGCGAATAAGTTCGAAAAAGTTCGAAATTAGAATTACGCTAAAATAATTCAAAATAAAAATTTTTTGGCTAAGATGTTAAACTTATTTGATAAATGAAGAACTAGATTACGTTAGTACGAATTTTTATTTCTATATAGTTCTATGATGGTATAAAAGTTTAGTCATTTAATTGTGTATAGATTTTTAAAAATAATTATTATATATTATGTTACTTTGTATATTGTTGTTATAATTTGTACATATATTAATTTCTTGAGGTTAGCATTTTACTATGTGTGACGTTGTTAATGTCAGCTGGCACTCACTCAAATCATAGTATGCATATTCTTAACTTTTAAATTAAACGAAGAACTCTTCAATGGAGAAAAATTTGCCAGAAAAAATGTGAATCTTTATTTTTTTCTTATTTTATTTATGTATTTATATACTTAATTGATTTATTATTATTATTTTTTAAAATATTTTTTTTTTTTGCTTTTGTGTGACATGTAGAGAAATTGAAGATTTCGTAGGCTATTACTAAATTTAGAAGATTTTTTTAACAAAACATCTTCATTATCACTGTATTTTCTCCATTTGCTATATCATACAGATTAAACGTAAGTTAAATAAACTGTTGCATTTTAATTGTTTTGATAAAATAAGAAGGTATTTAGTTTTCCTGTTCTATAAAAAACTGTATTAACACTTTTCCTGTTATCAATAATTTTCTCTCTATAGAAATTTCCTAGACACAGATACACAGTCTTTTTCTATGAGTACAAGAAATGTTCATAAATCAAATCACTTATGGGATTGAGGTACACTTGAAGTATCAGTCAAATATTAAACATTTATTAACCACACCACATACGCTACATGCGAAATAATAAGGTTAATAGAGAGTGCACATCCTTTTGCAATGAGTTTTAGCAGAGAAAGATGATGTGTTCGGTTCAGATATCACCAGAGAAATGAATTAGCCACACCTTTAACGTGCAGTGATTGGCTAGATTTAATTTGAGAAATTAGATTATTGGATTAGAATTTTGATTGACAGATTTTAGTTTGAGTTCCCAATTCTGGGTTTCAGTTTCAATTTAAAAGTTTCACTTCGTGAAATTGTGATTGACAGATAAAGAAAAGTGAAGTAATTATGGATCCCCACAGAGTATCCCCCCAGTGAGGGAACCGAACGACACAAAATTTATATAGATAAAAGGAAGAAATATTTTTTTCATTCATAAGAAAAAAATATCTATATAAATTCTGCTGAGAAATAAAATGATGTAAGCAAAATTATTTCAATGCAATATGAATGAAAAACTTTAGTACGTAGGATGTAATATAAATTTAAATGTCATTTAATGTGAGACTTAAGTATATGTAAGTCTGTCAGGAAAATGCACTTTTCTGCCACTCTTCGTTACAATCGGCTGTTCGTAATTGCCGTTTGTTTTATCACACGCACTCGATTCACCAGCAGAGATTGTTTTGATTCCTTTAAAAGATATGCCGGTTTCACACGATCCAGTGAAACTGTAGACGAACGGTCTTTCAGTTGGATGGTTATTGCTTTTTGGGATCGTTGAAGTACTTTGTGAGGTCCGGTGTTCGGTTGGCTTAAAGGAGGTTGTTGATGATCAGTGCGTAAGAAAGCATGAGTGCAGTGTTGTATATCAAGGTGCATAAAAATAGGGATTTTCCCATGTGAACACTGAGAGGGTTCAGCTTATTCATTTGAGATTTGTGTCTATGCACTGCTTGTTATCAAATTCGTTGAACATATCTGCTGGTAACACGAGAGATTTTCCATACTCAAGTTCAGCACTTGTGGCTTTCAAATCACTTTTGAAGGCGGTCCGAATTCCTAATAAAATGATAGGCAATGTGTCAGTCCATCTAGGATTTGCGTGGGCCTTTAATGAGCTTTTCATGTGGTGATGAAATCGTTCAATAATACCATTTGACTTGAGACTGACAAATAAAAAAATGAACACAGACTTTAAAAAAAAAAGAGATTTAAGAGATTTATTCACCAGCAGAGATTGTTTTGATTCCTTTAAAAGATATGCCGGTTTCACACGATCCAGTGAAACTGTAGACGAGCGGTCTTTCAGTTGGATGGTTATTGCTTTTTGGGATCGTTGAAGTGCTTTGTGAGGTCCGGTGTACGGTTGGCTTAAAGGAGGTTGTTGATAATCAGTGCATAAGAAAGCATGAGTGCAGTGTTGTATATCAAGGTGCATAAAAATAGGGCTTTTCCCATGTCGGGAAACACTGACAGGGTTGAGCTTATTCATTTGAGATTTGTGTCTATGCACTGCTTGTTATCAAATTCGTTGAACATATCTGCTGGTAACACGAGAGATTTTCCATACACAAGTTCAGCACTGGTGGCTTTCAAATCACTTTTGAAGGTGGTCCGAATTCCTAATAAAATGATAGGCAATGTGTCAGTCCATCTAGGATTTTCGTGGGTCTTTAATGAGCTTTTCATGTGACGATGAAATCGTTCAATAATGCCATTTGACATTGGATGATAGGCTGTTGTACGGATGCGGTTTGTACCATGAAAAAGAGAAGATTCTAGTTGTCTGCCTTGATCAGTTGTAATTGTAGAGGGACAACCGAAACGGGAAATACACACGTTGAAAAGGGGTTTACACACTGTGGAAGCTTCTGGAATTGGTATCACTTCAGGTCATCTAGTGAAGCGATCGATGGTTGTGAGTAGGACTGGGCTATAAATCGATATATCGCGACATATCGATTTAACGCCTGTATCGGCAGGCCGATACAGCGACTTTCGTTCCAGGCGATGCATCAGAAATCTGATTTAAGCCGTCGAGTAAAGAAGACGAACGATATAGCGATATACGANCTGGTGTACGGTTGGCTTAAAGGAGGTTGTTGATAATCAGTGCGTAAGAAAGCATGAGTGCAGTGTTGTATATCAAGGTGCATAAAAATAGGGCTTTTCCCATGTCGGGAAACACTGACAGGGTTGAGCTTATTCATTTGAGATTTGTGTCTATGCACTGCTTGTTATCAAATTCGTTGAACATATCTGCTGGTAACACGAGAGATTTTCCATACACAAGTTCAGCACTGGTGGCTTTCAAATCACTTTTGAAGGTGGTCCGAATTCCTAATAAAATGATAGGCAATGTGTCACTCCATCTAGGATTTTCGTGGGCCTTTAATGAGCTTTTCATGTGGCGATGAAATCGTTCAATAATACCATTTGACATTGGATGATAGGCTGTTGTACGGATGCGGTTTGTACCATGAAAAAGAGAAGATTCTAGTTGTCTGCCTTGATCAGTTGTAATTGTGGAGGGACAACCGAAACGGGAAATACACACGTTGAAAAGGGCTTTACAC